GTTTTCACTCCCATTTCTTCCCTCTTTCCTTTAATAAATTTGATACCTATATCTGGGCTCCCCAGGTGGCACTAGTGGTAAAGAACACCTCCCAGTGCAGGAAGCATAAAGGATGAGGGTTGGATCCCTGGGAAGATACCCTAGAGAATGGAATGGCAACCCACTCCAGTATCCTTGCCTGGAGAATCACCATGGACACTTGGTAGACTACGGTCCATGGGATCACAAAGAGTCAGACATGAATGAAGTGACTTAGCATATTTGAAATCCTATGTATCCTTGCAAAATATTATAGATTGTTTTATATATGTCTTTGTTTTTTGACTTTTTAAGTTTGAAATGTTTTCAAAGTTATGGAGAAAATGATATAGTAGAAAGAGTTCCCATATGTCCTTGAGTCATATTTTTTTAATTGTTAATATTTTGCAGCACTTCTCTTTTTGTATATGTATGTGTATTTTTTTCTGTACTATTTGAAAATAAGTTGAAGACATTTCCTCTATCGCTAAATATTTCAGTATCTTTCCTAAGAAGAAAAAACAATCTCTTATATAACCACAGTATGATTATCAAGTTACTCTAACATTGATACACTATTATTATCTGATATGTATTTCATATTCAAATTTCCTCAATTGTCTCAGCAGTGTTTTTTTTAACCTTTCCCTCCCCCAGTCACGTTTCTGTTGCATTTGCTCATGTCTCTTCAGTCTGGAACTCTCTGGAACAGTTCCTTGACCTTGCTTTGTTATTTGATAATATGTATGTAATTTTTGTTTGTATGATATACTGCTATAGACCTTGTTCCTTTTCTCAATTTTTCAGTGTTTCTAAGACCCACCTATATTTATGTATAGACGTCTATCTTGTTTGTTACTTCCAACTTCTGCCTAGTTTTCCATAGTATGCACCTGCCAAAGTTTACTTATCTATTCCCCAGTGACAAACACCTATATTGTCTTCAACTCCTTGCTATCATAAATAATTCTGTCACTGACATCCTCATACATGTTCCTTTGAGGAATATTTCTGGAATATCTCTCCAAGAATAGAATTGCTGGGTCATAATGTTTTTTCTGTTTAATCAAAGTACTGCTGAATTGCCCTATGGAACAGCTGCCTGACCACACTTTAACTGTTGTATACAAAGATCTCAGTTTCTCTATACCACTGCCAATATTTAGTCCTAGGTAACATTCTCATTTTTGCTAATATGATGGTTTAAAGTTTGCTCTCATTCATTTTCTCTAATCACTAGTGAGTTTCATTTCTTTTGCCAAGCGCCTCACTGATAGAGTTTCCTCAGGAAGGAACTTTTCTGTAATACACACACCGCAGTCGTGCACACACACACACACACACACTCCAGCCTAGTCAATGTACTAGAGGGATATTTTGAAGCTGACCTCATGAATGGCAGTTGTAAAGTCCCATTTCACTTTGTGTCGCTGTCAGTAAACCAGTTGACATTAGTCATATAATTTCTCAGATTTCTTACATTTTAAATATAATTTGTAAAAGTATACATTCTCCTAGACAACTGAAACCAAGATCCTTAAGACAGCTGTCTGCACCTGACCCTTAAACTATGAATATTGTGTAGAAATAGAATTTAAGATTTACTTTTTCAGATACTTGAATTCATCAATTTTCAAATCTTTTACCTTATTTACTTCTGAATTTTTAAAAACTATATATCCTATTGCTTATTTTTCAGTTGGTGTCCAAAATTTGTTATGTCTAACTAATTGCAAAAGATAGAATTTTTAGAGTAATGCAAAAATTACTATGTAAAAAGTAAAAATCTCCTTAAATATACCTGATTGAATCTAAATGCCATAGCTATTTGATAACTATCATTATGCATTTTAAAAATACACTAATAGGTTCTTCTGGTTTTTGTTTCTTATTTTTACAGTGTTGTGTTGGTTTCTATCATATAGCAACACACAGTAGCTATAGTTATACATACATCCCCTCCTCCCTAGCCTTCCTCCCCTCCCCCCATCGCATCCCTCCAGGTCATCACGGAGCACAGGCCTGGGCTCCCTGTGCTACACAACTTCTCACCAGCTATCCATCTTACGCCTGATAGTGTACACATGCTGGTGCCACTTTCTCCATTCCTCTCACACTCCCTGTCCCGACTGTGTCCACAAGTCCATTCTCTACATCTGTGTCTCCATTCCTTCCCTACAAGTAGGTTCAAAAGTGCCATTTTCTAGGCATTAATATACTATATGTGTTTTTCTCTTTCTGACTTACTTTATTTAACAGGCTCTAGGTTCATCCACTTCACTAGAACTTACTCATTCTTTTTTATGGCTAAGAAATAGTCTATTGTGTATGTGAACCACAGCTTCTTTATCCATTTGGTTCTTCTTTTATAGTCAGATTTACATCTTTTTTTCCCCTTCTTTAGCTCAGTGTTTCTGCTGCTCCTTTCCCTCCGAGAATATCATTCCTAATGCATATTTTAATATTTCTTAATATTTTTTAAAAACATGTTTTTATGTTTAAAAGTATTTCAATTATGTAAAATATCTATAACAAAAAATTTAAGTTACAAGTACATTTTAAAAATTTCCTGTGATCATAAAAAATCTTTTTTCTAGATTATATGTTCATTGCATTACAATTATTAACAATTGATTAGAAGAATATATGCATATTATGAATTTTAATAAATAGTTAAATATAAAAGTAAAGTTTATGTTAGAAAATATATCTTTACCAGACTTGACCAAGAAGCAATAGAAGATCTATCTTTAAATGTATAGATTCAATTATTGTATTTACCTCTGTACTGTTAGAATAAGACAGGATTTCAGCACCAATTCAGTTTCTTTGTTTTTTTTCTATAGATGTGAATGTTGAGAAAATTGGATCACATAAGTAGTTGAGATGGAGAGATTTTATTATAGAAATATCACTCAATTCTTTAAACTTCTTTTGAATCATTTGTTAAAACATAACCTTGGGGATCTATCATCAAAATTTTTAACAACCCGTCAGCTGTTAATTTGATTATATCATCCTATAAACTTAATGAAACCAAGAAACTACATATGTTAATCACTGAAATCATTCTTCTTCTTAGTGCTGACACTGTTTCTAATTGTCTCTTTCCTTGACACCCATGTTTTTATACCCTGAGGCAATGAATACAAAATTATGGATGAGTGAAAGGTAAATTTTTCTGTTGTAAGGTGGGAGAAATATGATTTCAAAAGAAACTTTACTTTCATAGAAAAGAGTAAATAAGAAATTATGGAATCTTTAAAAAATGATTTTCTTAAGCCATTTCTATGCCTGCATACACCTATCTTAACATAAGTCAGGGATTTGTATGAGACTGCTGCTAAACAGAAATGATATTTTTAAAGCTGTCATTATTCCAAAAAGATCATAGTAGCATCAACCTTTGTGAGAAATATAGACTTAAGTTTATTTAATTATAAATTTACAGTAGGGAACTTTTTAATGTAAATCTATAGCTGTAAATTTATATATGTTTTGACAAAATGTATATCTAATTCAACAAACAGTATACTCCATCATTATGTTCCTGGAAGAGGTTGACTTGAGTGTGTTGATGTCAAACCCAAGACTAGGTATTGATATTCTTGGAAGGTTATTTGGTGGTTTCATTTAGGGCTCTCATATAATTCTCTTCTTTTGCTTATGTTAGTCCTTACACCTGAATAATTAGTTCCTCCTCCCTCCCCCCACCATATCTGTCTTAGTGATAGCTCTTTTATATTATATTTGTGAATTCACCTTCCCATACATGTCTCAAATCCAATCCCTCTTCTCTATCCCGTGCCCTCATTCAGATCTACATCATTTCTCAACTGGTTATCATCTTTTATCTGTGCTCCCTGGCTCCATTCTCCTTCCACTCCATTGTCTCCACCACAGAATTACTATAATAATTTTTCTAAAATTTGGATCAATTCCATATTATCCTGCTTAGAAATCTTCAGTTGCTCTTACTGACAAATCTTTAAAGTCTGTGCACTTCCAAAAGTGTTGATACTTTCTTACATTTATTAGCTTGAGACTATCTGTTCTCAATTACTTTTCCAAATTTTTCTCCAGCAGCTATTCTTATCTGTTTTTTACTTGTGTCACACAAATTACTTATTTCCTTGAACAGATATAATGGTGCACTTACTAGAATGTCACAGTGGACAGAACAAGGATATTTTTTAGTGATTTCACCTAAACTTCTGGCTACTTGTGATGAAAGACTTAAATTTATTCATATGCAGTGATCCTTTACAGAAAAATTTTATGATTTATCATTGAGATATGTTTTTAGATCACATTGATAGCACTCAGCATGGCTACTGGACACAGGAAAAAATAACAAAGAAAAGCTTTAAAAAACCAGAGAGGCCATGTTAAAGTAAAGACTATATTCATAATCCTTAAATGTATCAAGATTTTTCAAAAGGTGATTTGAAAGCACATACACACACAAACATAAATTACATAATGTATTGAATTCTCCTTTATACACATTAATGAGAAAAAGAGTTTTTATGTTTGGCCTATAATGTAGAACTCTATGGATCATAACTATCTTTTCATAATTCCATTTTGGATTCAGCATTGTGAAGTAGCTTGAACTCTAGAGAGCAGGTTTTAGATAGCTTCTACTAACAATTTCAACACTTAGTAACTATGATTTTTATGGGTCAATTATATATCCCCTGTTTGTTCAAGGAGAGACTGTATCATATGAGATAACATTTGAGAGTATATTATAAATTTAAACAGATTTAGAAGCACATTATATCATTGAATTATTCCTTAATCTCTTTACACTAATCCTATATTTCCTTAGAGAATCTAGTCTATGTTGATAGAAGCCATATGTTGATAGGGCTAATAAATGATCCAATAAGGAAATAAAACATATTGAGGGTTTGTTTTATTTATTTTTTTCTTATTTTTTCTTTTATGTTTTTTATGTTTCTTCCTTGTCAAAACAGTTTTGGTATGAACCATGATGGAATTGGAAATTCTTGTGGGACAAAAGGTCATGAAGCAGCAAAACTTATGGCAGCTCACATTACTGCAAATACCAATCCCTTTTCCTGGTCTGCCTGCAGTCGAGACTATATCACCAGCTTTCTAGAGTAAGTAGTCTCTGGAGAGTGATGATGAATTGCTCCAGAAGTAAGCCATTGATGGAAGCCTCATATGTAGCGCTTCAAACTTTGCATAATGAGTAACTTTTATAAGTCCCAGTGATAATTCAGACTGTTCCCCCAAATACTTTAACATATCATTGTGGCAAATTTTTAATTTTTTTATTCGTACTCAAATAGAACACAGACTAAATTAGGGGGACACAAGCAGATTAAAGAACTGGAGTAAGACTGTAAAAGGGGTTGATGATGTGAGTTAGAAATGTTAAATAAATGGGAAGGAATGTCAGAAAGAATTTAGATTTACATAATTTAGTAATGCATAAGCCAAGCCTTAATTCAGTGATTAGATATTTCATTTTGTTGGTTAAAAAAATAACTGAGTTCTGTCGAAATGCCAAAGTATCTAATAGTAACAAACAACAACAACAAAAAACCAAACACCCAGGAAATGAAAATAAGAAAGTGAAAATTTGTCTTTGAAAATATATTAAATTGACTCATTTTTCTCCAGTTTGAGAACTTCTTTGCTGGTCCTTTAACGTATATTCTAAGTGTCTGGTTATTTAAATTTGAAGACTATAAATTAGCTCAGGTGTAACTATGTTTAGGAAAGCAGATGTTTTTCCATATTTCACCTGCATAGAACTTTAATAAGATTAGCCTTTGGAAACTGTTAGACTTAGGTCTCACTCTCTAACAGTGTGACCTTGGTCATGTTTGTTACTTAAACTTTCTAATATTCAGTGACTTCATTTGTTGAATAAATTTAGGTAATGATACATATATCGTCAAGTTGTCATGTAAATAATTATGTATAACACTATAATGAGTATATTTATAATTTAATATTATATAATTTAATATATTATAATATAATATAATAAGTTATATTTATAGTTTATATAAGTATATAAAACACTTAATAGACATTCATTATGTGGTATATTAAATAATATCAAGGTTTTAAGCACTGTTGTTCTATCATTACCTTCAACTGTTTTCTGCCATTTTTTTCTGAGGAGGAGAGATTAAGTATTCTGAAAAAGCTGGTCATACACAAAGTACAGGAGAGCAACAGAAATCCTTTTTAAAACCTGTCTTTGTTTAAAGTTCACTTTAACATGATTATAGTGTAACATTTTAGAAATTGAGAGGGAGACCTGGGTTGATCCCTGGGCCGGGAAGATCACCTAGGGAAGGGAATGGCTATCCACTCCAGTATTCTTGCCTGGAAAATTCCATGGACAGAGGAGCCTGGCAAGCTATAGTCCATGGGTTGCAAAGAGTTGGATACAACTGAGCAACCAACATTTTCTTTTTAACACTATGTAGGGTAACATTACTTATTAAGATTTTGGTTCATATCTGCTAAGAACCAGATTATATTCTTAAAACTTATAATCGCATATTTTTAAAAGCCCCAGACAAGAGATTTTATTAATAAATTACTGAGAGAAATGCTTTGCTCAATCAAAGATCAAAAGACAAGTGTTTAAAATGGGCTCTTTTGAATTAATGTGATAATGAAATTGAAAGAATTGGAAGTATTTTTAGAAGGTAGCTCTTCTGAATAGCTATACTATAACCTAACAATTTTTAATCTTTGTAATAGATAAAATTATAATACATGCCTTGTGCCAAAACTGGGTGAAGGACCACAGAAAATTTGACATCTTTTTGTAGTTTTTTAATACAAAGCACTAGCAATATCATTTTCTGAGATGTTTTAACATGATCATATAACCTAAATTTTAAGCACTGTTAAAGATCTACTCTCCCCAGAAATCAAGCCAGATCTGGAATTTCTCCCTTGACTTGGCTCATGTTTTTATAATGGAATCTTAGTGTCTATCTCCAGAAAGACAAACTGTATGAATGCTCAGTATTCCTGTGCATTTTTGAAGACTTTCCTCTGCTTGTTATTTTTTTTTCTTCCCCAAGTACATCATTTCTCTCTCCTCTGTCTTGTTTCTGTTGTACAGCCCATTTGCTAGGAATATCTCTTTATACTAAATACAAGGACTGGTTTTGATCTCTTGCCAGACCCTGTGTAGTTAAAACTGTGTTAAGGCTGTTAAAACTTTCCAAAAGGGAATCCCTAAATTGCTGATAAAATACAGTTAAGAAATCACCACTGGTTTGGTGAGAGATGTAAAATTATTACTAGTTGCAATAAATCATTCCACTGAATTAATTGAAAGAATTAATCCAAAAAGCATTATGTAAGCCTTATTGCCTCTTTGCATTTTCTATGTGTAAGCATAATTAGTGTTGACAGGGTTCTAGTGAGTTTATTATCCTGTATTTTATAAGAATATTTCTGTTGCATCTTCACGGGAATGCTCACAAAGTTAAAGCCATTAGTAAAAGATAGATGTGAAAGACAATGGGTAGGGATTTGGGGAGAAGTTGGCATCTTTTCCCCTTCTCTTTAATAGTAAACTAAACAACTCTGATTGTAATCTGACCAAGCAATAAAGGTTTTTTAAACACAAGGCCCTTTAAAAATGTCAGTTCACTGGAGCACAAAGATATAATAGTAACTTTCTTGAACTTCTTTGTTCCTCTTTATTAAAGCAGGGGACTTAATTGCTTTAACAGCTTTGTGTGATATTTATAAAAATCCAGTGATATTTTGATTAGGGATTGAGGTTACATTTATGTTTTATAGTTGGCTCAAAAAGACTCATAACATTTTATTTTAGTTTCTCTTCTCAAGAAAAAGAAATCTTGAAAGATGAATTGTTTAGGAACTGCAGCCCTGCCAACAGAATGCATACTTTTCTCTACTTAGTGACTATATAGGCCAAAGATGATGGTGGATTTTAACAATAAGCTTTCTATGATTTATAGAGATTCACTATTCACTATGTTCAACTGAAAGCAATTCCATGGGCTTTAAATGCCAATAGAGTAAAAAAGTCTCTCGTGTCATTCTGAAACACTAGGTGCTATTGATCAATCAGGAGGTGGTGTTTACCAACTCCCAATATTTTTTTTCAGATTTCTTAAACTCGGTGATTCAATAAGTGGTTCATGAATCGCCCAGAAGCCGTCCTGATTAAATAATAAAGAACCCATTACCGTTAAAATGGACGTGTTATGCCAGCTTCTGATGTTTTCGACGACGGCTTTGCAGGTAGTGTCCTTCCTATCTGCCTGCGGGACTTATTTATTTATTTATTCATTTATTTATTTATTTAGAAACTAGAGAAGATGAACCTGGTATTATGGCTCACATTCATTGATGTCTATGGGCTAATTTACCAGGCAGTAGAAGGCAGCCAGAAGTAATTGAGGCCAGTTTTTCATACATTTTCCACCACTTAGTGGTAGTACAGAGTAATTTCATGTAGTCTTCAAAAATCCTGGGGCCTCTGTGAATCAACTCTTGCTCTATTTAAATTAAAGTCTGTTATATTGTTTGAACTGTCAGAGATCCGTAGCAAAATTTCCTACAGTTCCAAATTAAATATTTTCACAGAAAGGATGGAAGCTGAAAAAAAGAGAAGCAATATTATGGTTGAAGATGAACTAGAAAGAAAGGTAGAGCTGCAAGAGAAGTGATATAAGATGAACAGGACAAGTAAGGCACTTAACAGTTCTTCTAGAGCAATTACTTTTGAAGGTCACTATCAATAGTCTATTAGACAGAAACAACTTTTATAGATGGGACCTCTTTTTTATGTGGAGCCAAAAAAGAGCTTAGCAAAACAAATTTCTCCTCCTTCCATTTATCTGACATTTTGGGGGGACTTCACTCTAACCCATAAATATCTTTGATAAGTCATAATTACATATGGAGAAAAAGAGCATAACTTAGTAAACATGATTAGCATAGTGTTTGCATAATGGAAGCCTCTAGTTCAGTTGTGTTCAAGTATCCCAGTCCTATAGAGGGCAAGAGATAAAGGTCTGACTTAGGGTAATTCATTTTAAAGGTAATGTATTGTTAGTTTTGTGAAGATTGGTAGAGCAATTTATGAAAATGTAGTAGGTAAGACACTTGACTTGCCATAGATGAGACACCTAATTCATTTTTGCTTAATTTATGTATGTTAGCACAACTTTATAGAAAAAAGTAGATGTTATATTATCTGTTAACTTTTTGTTGTTGTTGTTAAGAAACTGTTCAGATATAATCAGGGTTATATGGAAAGAATTATTTCTTAGATTGACCCACTGTTACAGGCTGAAGATCTGTACTTTATAGTGTAATTGTTTAACTGAAAAATAAATCTAAAATTGCAGTTATGTTTTCATGTGTTCTGGAAACAAAGCCAAGACACCATATTTTACATAAGAATCTGTACATTTTAATTGAAGACACAAATCTGGCTCATGTTCCTATTTTCAAGGCTAATTTTTGAACTCTGTAAATAAGACTTCTCTAAATTAGAAGTAGAATACGTAAAATATGACTTTGCTATCATTCTGTAAGGATTTCTAGAAATGTAAATATACTTTGATTTACTGAGAGTTTCATAATCAAGGGAAAAGCATGTTCTCAAACTAATACACATTTTTTGCATAAACAAGAGTGGAGTGTATTAGTTCAATAATTACCTATATTGCTGTAGATATTAACCAGGATTAGACTCTTAGTTGTGAAATATGTGCTGCTAGGGAACTAATCATAGTTCTGCTTTTATGGAGTATACAGTTTTGCTCAGGACAAGTATATCTTGTCCCGAGCAATAGTAAGTTGTAATAACATCTTATCGGTGGAATGTACAATGTTCTCCATTTCATTTATTAATGAGTGAGGTTTATGTTTTCTGAGTGAAAAAATTCACCTATGACTCTAGGGCACAAGCTCACTATGTTTAAAAGTGACATTTTATGAGAAAATTCAAGAAAATTTATATATAATATTACCACTATTAATTTTAAAATAGCATAAATAACATTAGGTTCAGTATCATAATTATATGATTATATTGATTAATTGGAACCTTAGATTAGTAAAAATTACTCATAGCTTCTTTTTGTTAAAAGGAAACAACTATAAAATATATGTAATTAACTCATGTCTAATATTTTTAAGAAAATCATTTATACCAGAAGACAGTACAAAATGATTTATATCAGCATAATTTGCAATTTCCAGAAATTAGAAATAATTTAAACACTTGTTAATAGAAGTGACATAGTCTTAAATGGAATATCAAAGGACAATATAAATGAATAGCTTACAGTTACACACCTCAACATGGATGTGTCTCACATTCATAGTATTGAGTAGAAGGATAAAGTCATAAAAGAAAACCTACAAAACGACTCATTTTATGTAGAATCCAAGAACTTTCAGATTAATAAATTGAGAGATGAATAATTACTGAGAAAACCAAAGAAATTATTATTTTAAAAATCAGGCAAAAATAATTATTTTAAAAATCATTAATTGCATCTTCTTCTCTGTAGATTCAGATTTTATACCTTTTATTTATTTGGAGAATGAAAATGTAATATGTGGACATTAGAAATTTGAATTACACAGAAAAAATCATTAATTCCTTGGGAGGCAAAGAGAGTTGTGATTGAGCACTTAAATTTTCTAAGGGGAACAAAACCAAAGAAAACACATCTTAGAGTTAAATGTACATCTCTCGGGTTTATGTCCTCTATCTTCTTTCTATACCTATATCTGTGATATTTCATAATGGCAGTTGATGGCACAGAGGCATGAAAATATCCAGAATTATTATCTTCTAAGGGCTTCCCTGGTGGCTCGGGGCTAAAGAATTTGCCTGCCCAATGCAAGAGATGCGGGCACAATCCCTGCGAAAGATCCCTGGAAGAAGGAAATGGCAACCCACTCTAGTATTCTTGCCTGTGAAATCCAATGGACAGCGCAGTCTGGCAGGCTGCAGGGTCTCTTAAGGGTCAGACACAGCTTGAGCCACTAAAGAGTTAATTAATACTTACTGTTTATAGGTTTAACTTACTTGAAAATAACCAAAAAGTAACAGACAGATTTTAGTAACATCATGCAAAAACTGTTTTTGTAGCTTAACTCTCAGATAAGAATTAAAGTATGAAGACTATCTTACCCCTCAAATACTTCAGTCAAGGTTTTACTGTATGTAATATTTATCATTACTAGAAGGAAAATATGTAGGTACATTTTCTACCCAAAATGTAGAAACAGTTTAAATCAACCTTGCAGATATCACACACTTGCTATCCTAGAGCCAATACTAGTAGGTAAAACACTTGACTTGCAAGCATTGATATTTTGTACAACTATAGCCAAATCCATTTTAAAAGGTTTTTGTTGATGCTGTATACCTAAATACATGTTTATTATTTAAAGATCTGTTATTTTTTTCACTTGTATTTCATGTGGTGTTTCTTCTACAAAAAAATATCTATTGGGAAGAGAATGACACATGTCTAGATAACTAACTAGACCACATCAATACAAAGCAATTGAAACACAAATCACTTTTGAGATAGACTTTCTCAGAAAGATTTTCCCACAGGGGACCACAGTACATGGCATTCTTCATTGTCTGGAGGCTTCTGCAATAGTCATCTGATTTGGTAGTTTTTAAAGAATGCCAAGCAGTATTGAAAGTGAAAAGAAAAAGTGAAAGTCACTTAGTTGTGTCTGACTCTTTGTGACACCATGGACTGTACTGGAATTCTCCAGGTCAGAATACTGGAGTAGCTAGCCTTTCCCTTCTCCAGGGGATCTTTCCAACCCAGGGATCGAGCTGGGGTCTCCTGAAGGTGGATTCTTTACCAACTGAGCTACTGGGAAAGCCCACCAACCATGATTTGTAGACCATTAATACCTGGGAACAAGAACTTTAAATGAAATAATTACTGTTGTTTCTTCCTAGGTTGAACCAGTTCTGTTAGCTATCAGGAAAGAATTTTTTCCAAGTTTTATTTTTTCCCTCAGGTTATCTTGTTTGTAAACTTTTGGGGGGTCCACATACTTCTTCCTCTTAAGTTTTTGGGTTAATTTTAGGTACTAAAAATAATTATGTGTACTAATTTTTAATGGATTTTGAGTTGGTGCCAACTCAAATTAAGTGAATATATCTTATACTTTCTTTGTTATGCTATTGGCAAATATTTAATATCTGTAGGATCCTGTACTTAAGTATGTCAGTGTTTAAAATTTTTCCATTAATTTTATAGAACTTAGCTTGATATTTTATTTTTATTACATATTTAGCTCCTTTCAGAGAGACTTTTGTAATTTGGTTGTAGATAGAGATGAAATTTATAATTTAGGAAGAAAATTAGGAAATAAAACTACTAATGGAATTATCTAATAAATTCTTCTTTTGTTATACTTTCACACTGACCTCTTTATCACTAACCTTAGTATAAATTTCAAATTTACTAGTAGAATTTTATTTGGCTAAAATTAGCATACCTATGTGAAGCTATTTTATATAATAAAAAGAGCTTACTATTTTTAAAATTCATCTGGAAATGGTCTTTCTTAGTATATGTCAATTTCTAAAAGCATTGTGAACAGAAAATAAAAAACATTCTGTCATGAAATATGGATAGCTGGGTGAAAAAATTTCTCTATTAGCTAAACACCCAGAGCAGTGACAAATGAAATGATTATAATAGCCAATAATAACATCCATCTATTCAGTACTACATTTATTATTCCACCTAAATGTCATTATTGTTTAAAAATTAATCAAAAAAGAAAACAAAATTAAAAAATTAATCAAGAGGCATAAATTAAAGAAAAAGGGGTCTTTGAATCTATCACCTTATGAATAGCATGGTTCAGTTTTTGAAAGGTATTTATTTGCTTCTATGCAAATATATATTAGTATGTAATATTTACTTTCGCATTACAAGAATGATAAACTTTGAAGTGAATATGAAATTTATTTTTATGCTTGTTTTTTTCTTGCTTACCTATAAATGAAAATTTGTACTGTCCTAAATAATAGTTGAGGAACTTCTACTTGTGAAATTATTTTCCTTTGGCAAAGTGGATGGAAAAGATTTGGAAAAAAAAACACAAGTGCTGGCACAATTGACAGGAATGTTGGAAAAAATTTTTAAATGTTGGCATAGGAATTCTTTAAAAATTCTAACTTACTCACATGTGAAATGAAAGTAAAAAAGCATCTGTCCTATTTTATGCACACTGACTAAATAAAAAGAACAATTATATTTAGCAAAGTATAAAGCTCCTTAAACTAAGATATTCTGTCTGACTTTTGGCGATCTTTATGTTATTTGTTCCACTGAATTAAATATTATGTTTGAATGAAGCATACTTTGAAAAGCAGAAATTATAGAGAGGAGAACATTCTCTTTTCCAATTCTGATGGTCCTAGATGAAATATGAAATTTTTGAGAGACTAAACACTTTTAATGTACTTGAGAAGAGAATTTGGATCTTGGCCTCTTCTGTCATTCAGCCCATTTGTTATTGAAATATTTCAAGAACCTTTGGACATATTTACCACAGCATCTATTTGTTCTACCCAAGGTGGAAGTATATAGGTTAGGTCTTTAAGGATCACAACCAGTTTTTTTCCATATTTTGTCTTTGATTCCACTACCAGATATGGTTATGTTTTCATTGAAAACAAACAAGAAGCTTAGAGCAGTATGAAATTGTTTTGATTCCTCCAGAAATTAGTTTAAATCAGTGTTTAAAGGCCAACCTGACATTTTAAAATTATTTTGTAAGATGCTTTTATTGTGTCTTAGTTCTGGAAAAAACTATTGGAGCTCTTATTCAAGTTTTAGTAAAGTTATTCTATTTTGCCATGATTATATATTGATAGAATTTATTGTTTTTCATGCATCAATTATTAAAGTAAAGAACTCAATACATGGTTTCATGACTGAGATTGAAATAGTCCAAAGTGTACCTAATCTCCTTTGATCCTTTATGTTGAACAGTTCAGGCCGTGGTACTTGCCTTGATAATGAGCCTCCCAAGCGTGACTTTCTTTATCCAGCTGTGGCTCCAGGTCAGGTGTATGATGCCGATGAACAATGCCGTTTCCAGTATGGAGCAACATCTCGCCAATGTAAATATGGGGTAAGAAGTCCTAATCCTTCTGTTTAGTCATTTATATGTTTTTTTTTCATGACACAATTGTTAAGATGGAATTTTGATGAATGTAATTTCTCTGGTATCAGTATTAACACAAGTATGGCCTTTGACATTGCTCCTTTTCTGAAATCATTTGTATAATATTTATTCTAAATGTTTGAATAATCCTTTAATTAAATAAATTTCAAATATCTTGGGAGGGATGCAGATAGAATTTAAAAATTTTCCATTGTATTTCTTTTTTAAGTTCTGAGTTTATAATGTCAACTTTTGTCTTTAAAATGTTATGATTTTGAAACCTCCCCCACTTCCCACCTTTTCTGGTACTGTAATAACTGGGTTAAGGGCATTTTCACTTTGACTCAGAGTTTTCAACTTATACTTTTAGTATTGAGTCATTGCAAGTTGCCCACATTCTAACATAGTAACTGAGTGGGGAAAAAATGACATTAGGCTAAATAGAGAAACAAGAAAAATTGCTATCGGAAAATAATGGAGGTATCATGGTTTACTCTTCTTGTCTGTCTAAAAAAGTTTAAGGATCTACCACAGAAGATATTAAAAAATAATTCTTTTTAAATTTTCGTAGAGAAAGATTTCAGTGTCTAATATAGGGAGACGTTCATAGTAGATACACAATGTAAACATGTTGAATGAATGTATAGGATTTTTAAATAATGAATTGTATGTCAAAAAATTTTGAAAGTAACTTTAAAGGCTTTTTCACAATTTTTTGTAAACAGTGTGTTTAAAATCCCTTTTAAGAAAATAATAACGATAAAAGGTAGTTAAGACTAAATGATACACACTTTGTACTCTACCAGTTATTCTTCTTGGGTGCAGTACAAAGGAAAGTGATTTTTTAAATATTCTTTGAGTGACAAGTATACTATTATTCCTAGGAGGCTTTGGCAGCACATTTTGTGCATTAGATTTAAAGATTGTGTGCAACTATCTAAAGATATAGAGCCTTAAGTAAAGCTTTGTCTCTCTATAAAGAATCTTTACTTCTATTCTTGTTTCTGTATGGTTTTAGTTACTTTTTTCCCTTGGTTGCTTTTTCCCTCAGAAAAAGCCAAACTTTAATCACAATCTTTGTATATACTTGTAGCTTCAGCTCAGTTCCGTTCAGTCGCTCAGTCATGTCCGACTCTTTGCGACCCCATGAATCGCAGCACACCAGGCCTCCCTGTCCATCACAAGCTCCCAGAGTTTACTCAAACTCATGCCCATCGAGTCGGTGATGCCATCCAGCCATCTCATCCTCTGTCGTCCCCTTCTCCTCCTGCCCCCATCCCTCCCAGCATTAGGGTCTTTTCCAATGAGTCAACTCTTCGCATGAGGTGGCCAAAGTATTGGGATTTCAGCTTCAGGATGAGGTGGCAAAAGTACTGGAGTTTTAGCTTCAACATCAGTCCTTCCAATGAACACCCAGGACTGATCTCCTTCAGGATGGACTGGTTGGATCTCCTTGCAGTCCAAGGGACTCCTCCAGAGTCTTCTCCAACACCACAGTTCAAAAGCATCAGTTCTTTGGCAGTCAGCTTTCTTCACGGTCCAACTCTCAGATCCATACATGACTACTGGAAAAACCATAGCCTTGACTAGACGGACCATTGTTGGCAAAGTAATGTCTCTGCTTTTTAATATGCTTTCTAGGTTGCTTGTAACTTTTCTTCGAAGGAGTAAGCTTTTAATTTCATGGCTGCAGTCACCATTTGCAGTGACTGTTTCCCCATCTATTTGCCATGAAGTGATGGGAAGAGATGCCATGATCTTCATTTTCTGAATGTTGAGCTTTAAGCCAACTTTTTCACTCTCTTCTTTCACTTTCACCAAGAGGCTTTTTAGATCCTCTTCACTTTCTGCCATAAGGGTGGTGTCATCTGCATATCTGATGTTGTTGATACTTCTCCCGGCAATCTTGATTCCGTCTTGTGCTTCATCCAGCCCAGCGTTTCTCATGATGTACACATATAAGTTAAATAAGCAGGGTGACAATATATAGCCTTGTATATTGTCACAGATGTAGCATCATCAACAGATGCAGCATCATCTTTTAGTATTTGCAATAGCTCAACTGGAATTCCATCACCTCCACTAGCTTTGTTTGTAGTGATGCTTCCTAAGGCCCACTTGACTTCACATTCCAGGAGGTCTGGCTCTACATGAGTGATCACACCATCGTGATTATCTGGGTCGTGAAGATCTTTTTTGTACAGTTCTTCTGTGTATTCCTGCCACCTCTTCTTAATATCTTCTGCTTCTGTTAGGTCCATACCATGTCTGTCCTTTATTGAGCCCATCTTAACATTAAATGTCCCCTTGGTATCTCTAATTTTCTTTTTTCTTTCTAATTTTCTTGAAGAGATCTCTAGTCTTTCCCATTCTGTTGTTTCCTCTATTTCTTTGCACTGATCACTGAGGAAGGCTTTCTTATCTCTCCTTGCTATTCTTTGGAACTCTGCATTCAAATGTGTATATCTTCCCTTTTCTCCTTTGCTTTTTACTTCTCTTCTTTTCACAGCTATTTGTAAGGGCTCCTCAGACAGCCATTTTGCTTTCTTGCATTTCTTTTTCTTAGGGATGGTCTTGACCCTGTCTCCTGTACTATGTCCTGACCTCCGTCCATAGTTCATCAGGCACTCTATTAGATCTAGTCCCTTAATTCTATTTCTCACTTCTATTGTATAATCATAAGGGATTTGATTTAGGTCATACCTGAATGGCCTAGTGGTTTTCCCCACTTTCTTCAATTTCAGTCTGAATTAGGCAATAAGGAGTTCATGATCTGAGCCACAGTCAGCTCCCGGTCTTGTTTTTGCTGACTGTATAGAGCTTCTCCATCTTTGGCTGCAGAGAATATAATCAACCTGATTTTGGTATTGACCATCTGGTGATGTCCACATATAGAGTCTTCTGTTGTGTTGTTGGAAGAGGGTGTTAGCTATGACCAGTGCATTCTCTTGACTGAACTCTATTAGCCTTTGCCCTGCTTCTTTCTGTACTCCAAAGCCAAATTTGCCTGTTACTCCAGGTATTTATTGACTTCCTACTTCCACATTCCAGTCTCCTATAATGAAAAGGACATCTTTTTTGGATGTAAGTTTTAGAAGGTCTTGTAGGTCTTCATAGAACCATTCAAGTTCAGCTACTTCAGCAGTACTGGTGAGGGCATAGACTTGGATTACTGTGATATTGAATGGTTTGCAAACTTGGAAACGAACAGAGATCATTCTGTCGTTTTTGAGATTGCATCCAAGTATTGCAAATTCACACTCTTTTGTTGACCATGATGGCTAATCCATTCCTTCTAAGGGATTCTTGCCCACAGTAGTAGATATAATGGTCATCTGAGTTAAATTTACTCATTCCAGTCCATTTTAATTCGCTGATTCCTAGAATGTCGATGTTCACTCTTGCCATCTCCTGTTTGACTACTTCCAATTTGCCTTGATTCATGGAACTGACAGTCCAGGTTCCTAAGCAGTATTGCTCTTTACAGCATCAGACCTTGCTTCCATCACAAGTCACATCCACAACTGGGTGTTGTTTTTGCTTTGGCTTTGTCTCTTCATTCTTTCTGGAGTTATTTCTCCACTGATCTACAGTACCATATTGGGCACCTACAGGCCTGAAGAGTTCATATTTCAGTGTCCTATCTTTTGCCTTTTCATACTATTCATGGGGTTCTCAAGGCAGGAATACTGAAGTGGTTTGCCATTCCTTTCTCCAGTGGACCACATTTTGTCAGAACTCTCCACCATGACCCTACATGACAAGGCTCATAGTTTCATCGAGTTAGACAAGGCTGTGGTCCATGTGATTAGATTCATTAGTTTTCTGTGATTGTGATTTTCAGTTTCTCTGCCCTCTGATGGAGAAGGATAAGAGGTTTATGGAAGCTTCCTAATGGGAGAGACTGACTGAGGGGGAAACTGGGTCTTGTTCTCATGGGTGGGGCCATGCTTAGTGAATCTTTATCCAATTTTCTGTTGATGGGTGGAGCTGAGTCAAGAGAAAGGATAGCCTCTTCAATAAAAGACTCTGGAAAAACTGGACAACCACATTCATAAGAATAAAACTGGACTGTTAGTTTACACCATATTGCAAAAATTAACTCAAAGTGGACTAAAGACTGAAATGTAAGACTGGAAACTATAAAACTCCTAGAAGAAAATATAGGAGAAAAGCTTCTTGATCTTGGTCTTGGCAGTGGTTTCTTGATATGAAAAGCAGGCAACAAAAGTAACTATAGATGAGTGGGATTACATCAAAATAGAAAGCTCCACACAACAAATCAGTCAACAAAATGAAAAGCCAGTTTATGGAATTTGCAGAAATTATTTGCAAACCATATATCTGGTGAAGGGATAATGTCCATAGTATATAAGAAACTCTTATAGTTTTAGCAAAAAAAGCAAATAATCCAATTTAAAAATGGACAAAGGAATTTAATAGACATTTCTCAAAAGAAGACATACAAATGAACCATTATATGAAAAGGTATAAACCTCATTAATCATCATGAAAATACAAATCGAAACAGCAATGAGATAACACCTTATACCTGTTAGGATGGTTATTATTTAAAAACTGATAATTAGTTTTGACAAAATGTGTAAAAAAGAGAATTCTTACACACAGTTGGTGAAAATATAAATTTGTGCAGCCACCATGGAAAACAATATGGAACTTTCTTAAAAAATTAAAAATAAAACTGCCATATGATCTAGGAATCCTACCCCTGGGTATATATCCAGAGGTACTGAAATCAGGATCTTCAAGAAGGTATGTACTGTCATATTTATTGCAACATTATTCAAAATAGCTCAGATGTGGAAGCAACATAAATGTTCATTGACCACCAAGAGATTTTACTCAGCCACTTTTTACAGTGAACATCAGCTAACTTGTTCTTGAAGACTTCAAAAAGCTAACGAGTCTGACAAGCATACTTTTCATTTACCTTTCACATGGTAGAC